AAAGTCATTTCTGGAAGCAAGCATTAGCTTGACACCAAACCAGAGAAAGACTGAACCAAAAAAGAACTACAGGCCAATCTCACTAATGAACATAGATGCAAAAATCCTCAATAAGACACTGGCAAACAGAATGCAGCAAATCATCAACAAGATGACATGATGGCCAAGTAGAATTCATCCCATGGGTGCAGAGATGGTTTAACATACACAAATCAAGGAACATAATAAACCACATAAATAGAAGCAAGGACAAAAATCATATGATCATCTCAACAGATGAAGAAAGAGCATTTGATAAAATCCTACACCCATTCATGATAAAAATTCTGAAAAGGAATAGAAGGTCTTTATCTCAATCTGCTAAAAGCCATTTATTACAAACCAACTGCTAACATCACACTGAATGGAAAGAAGATGAAAGCTTTCCCTCCAAAATAGGGACAAGACAAGAATGTCTGCTACCACCACTCCTATTCAATATAGTTTTCAAAAGGTTTCCCTCTAAAATAGGACAAGACAAGAATGTCTGCTATCACCACTCCTGTTCAATATAGTTTTCAAAACATTAGCTAGAACAATAAGACAAGAGGAAAAAATAAAAAGGATATGGATAGGGAAGGAAGAAGCTAAATGATCATTATTTTGACAATGGTATGATCCTCTACACAGAAGAATCCAAAAACTCCACTGAAAGACTCCTCGAACTAACATCCAAATTCAGCAGTGTAAGCAGGATAAAAAGTCAACACTCAAAAATCAATAGTATTCCTGTACAGCAATAACAAATGGTCCTCAGAAAACTGGCTATGCATATGCTGAAGGTTGAACCTAGGCCCATATCTCTCACCAGGCATTAAAGTAAGATAAACATGGATCAAAGATCTAAACATTAGAACAGAAATACTTGATCTGCTAGAAGACAAAATAGGTAAAAGTCTTGAAGAAATAGGTGTAGGCAAACACTTCCTAAACAAAACCCTGGCTGCACAAGAAATAATACCAGGAATCAAAAAGATAAAGTTTCTATACAGTGAAGGAAACAACTAACAGGGTGCGAAGGCAATCTATAGAATGGGAAAAATTTTTGCCAGCTGTTCCTCAGACAAAGGGCTAATATCTGGAATATATAAAGAACTCAAAAAAACCAGACACCCCTCCTCCAAATTTAAAGACCTAATCCAAAAATGGACATCTGAAATGAATAGACACTTCTCAGATAAAAAAGTACAAACAGCCAATAAATACATAAAAAAATGTTCAACACCACTGGCAATTTGAGAAATGGAAATGAAAACAACACTGAGATTCCATCTCACCCCAGAAAGAACAGCTATCATTAACAACTCAACTAATAAATGCTGGCGAGGCTGTGGAGGAGAAAAGGAACCCTTCTCCATTGTTGGTGGGAGTGTAGACTGATACAGCCGCCATGGAAATCAGTGTAGAGATTCCTCGAAAAAACACCGGAAGTAGAAATTCCATTTGACCCAGCTATTCCCCTTCTAGGTATCTTCCCAAGATAGGTAAAGACATCATATCACAGTTTGATATAGGTATAACCATATCAGTTGCAATATATCCATGTTTATAGTAGCATAATTCATAATAGCTAAATCTTGGAAACAGCCCATATGTCCACCAACAGATGAATGGTTAAAAAAGTGGTATTCATACATGATGGAAAACTACTCCGCCATAAAAAGGATGAACCCGAGTTATTTGTAGGAAACTGGTTGCATCTTGAGACCATTACATTAAGTGAAGTAATTCTGACACACAACTTAAATATTGAATGGTTTCTCTTATATGAAAAACTCAGTACATATACACACATACAAATATATTATATATATATATATATATATATATATATATATATATATAAAGAAAAAAAGAGATAATAGGAAAAAAGAGAAAGAAAAAAGATATTGTAATCTACTGTGGACAATGTATCTACATGTGTACCTTGAGTTAGTGTAATTATCTTACATGTTTAATATGTTTTTAGGCCTATTAGTCTGCTTGTCAATCTATATATATGATAATTAACTTTGTAAAGTCTTGTGGATACATAAACAAATCTGCTGCTGGAAAGTTAAAGGGGCGTGGAGGGAGGAAACAAGGAACTGAAATGTGCTGCGTACACGTACCAATTCCTGAGAGTGAATCATTCTGTACTGCAGACAAGTACTAATAAAAGTCAAAAGAGAACCTTTTATACAAAATTAGCTCAAATTGGCTCATACATCTAAATGTAAAACTATAAGATTCTTCAAAAAAGCAGGACAAGTGTTTTTATGTTGTGTTAGGCAAAAAAATTCTTTTAAAACATCAAAATCTCAATCCATAAAAGCAGCAGCTCATAAACTGGACTTCTGTAAGCTGAAAGAAGAAAAAGATGAGCTGTAGACCACAAGAAAATATTTGTAACTCATCTCCTTCACAGAGGGACTTAGGGAGTATAAGGAACTCTTCAACTCAATAAAAAGAAATAAAACTACCACTTTTACAATGGGCAAAGGATCTGAAAGGACATTCAGAATGGAAATTATTTTCAAAGTAAAAAGGCAAATGAGTAAAAAATTTCAGGTTTAGATTAGTGTAATTTTTAACAGGGATTCTAATCAATATTTGTATCTGGAATCCAACACCTTTCAAATCAAGGAGGTGTTTTCTGCTTTCCTCCATAAAGGAATGACGGAGGACCTTCCCAAGGTGAGGAACTATAAACAGACAGAACATGAGGGAGCTTGGGCAGTGCACAGCAAGGCCAAGGACAGCGCTCCTGTGAGGAGAAGCTAGATCTGAACCCAGCCCAGGCTTCAGGAGAGCTGGGCCACTCCCGCAGGATCTGAGCGCAGAAGACAGGGATGAGGTGTGGACTCCTCAGGGCAGGGTTGGAGAGCAGGGCCTGTGTGCCGTGGTAGCCAACAGCTTCAAGGGCCTCAGCTGAGGGCCACATTGTGTACGGCAGGCTCCATCAGTGGGCAGCTGCCACTGGCTGGGAGTAGATGAAGCCCCAGCAGGCAGGCAGCTTGGAGGGGGTGACGAGATCCTCTCTGTGAGGAAAGAGGCCCCGGGATATCTGCAGGATCCAGTCCTGGCCCCAACAGGCTACACCATTAAGCTCTGAAAGAGAACTGAAACAGGGCAGTCCTTGCGAGGAATAAAACCAGCTCAGAGGACCAGGAAGACCTGACAAAATGTAACCGCCTGCAGAAAGAAACCAACACACACAGCTGAGCATCCAGAATGTCCATGCAGGTAAAAAAAACCAAAAAATATAAGCAGCAGGACAGAGTGTGAAAAAGCACAATGCAGACAAAGGAAGCAGCAAGGCTAAGTCAGACATAATGAATGGACATATGGAAATTTTGGCAGAGAAAGGGAAATTACTGAAGAGAGAAAATACTCGAAAAGGGTACCATCTGACACCAAAATGTACAGGACACACTCAAGAATATATTGGAGATCATGTAAGTGACAGTCAGTGAATTTTAAAAGAGTTTAAGAGAAATCATCCAATCTGAGAATACATTTTTTAAAAGAATGAACAGAGCCTGACAGCTATGGAACAGTTTCAACAGGCTTAACCTGCATGTAAACAAGTTCCACAGTGGAAAAGAGAATGAGGAGGAAGCAGCAACTTTGAAGATATAGTGAGAGGGCCCAGATTTGATGACATAACCCCACCCAGTGTGGTGGGGCATGCCTATCATCCCAGTACTCGGGAGGCTGAGTCAGGAGGACTGCAGCAAGTTTGAGGCCAGCCTGGGCTGCATAGTGAGTTCAAGGCCAGCCTCAACTATAGAGTGAGACCCTGTCTCCAAAAGACAAAACAAATAGATTCTCAGTGAACCCTAAGCATGACACCTACAGAGCACCACAACTATCTTATAGTCAAACTGCTAAATGAAATGAAATGATAAAAATAAATCCCCTAGAAAGCTTCTGGAGAAAGTGACACACTGCATTCAGAGCAGCGCTGGGAAAGGTCCTGCCACAGCGTTCCCGGAGCACAGCGCCACACTGTGGAGCGGAGGGCCACCTGCCCTGGACACCTGGGGAATCAGGTCCCAGGCTGCTGCTGCAGGACAAAACCCAGACAGGCCCCTCCCTCTGGAGTTCCATGGCCTGCTCTACTTGGGGCCACCCACAGCTCTATTAAAGCTTCAGGCAAGCCAGGCAGGAGCTGCCTCACTACTCCCTCTGACCAGCCTCCCAGTGCTTCTCCCTCCCCTTTAGCACTTTACAGTGCTTAAATAACAAAATTCGGAATTCTACCAACCCCAAATTCTGTATTTAGTGAAGACAGTCTTCAAAACTGAGGGTGAGGGGCTGGGAATTTAGCTCAGCGGCAAAAGCGCCTGCCTGGCAAGCGCAAGGTCGTGAGTTCGGTTCCCGGTACCGGAGAAAAACCAAAAAAAAA